TTTTATTGATTTCAGAGAGAAAGGGAGAGGGAGAGAGAGATAGAAGCATCGATGATGAGAATCATTGATTGGCTGCCTTCTGCACACCCCCTATTGGGGATTGGACCAGTAACCTGGGCATGTGCCCTAACCAGGAATTACTGAGCCACACTGGCCAAGCTAAACAGTCTTGATAGTTTATAGTCTTGGTCAAAATCAAGATAGCCTTTATTTGTAAACTGATAGCAAAATGTTTAGCAGTGTGTTGGTAAACTGGTTCTCGAGAAAGAAAAAAATAAAAGGCTTGATTTTAGCATTTGCCAATTTTGGTGGTGAAAAACTGCCACCACTGACAACTGATAAATGTTTTTGCTGAAGTTGTTTTGCCAAAGGAACATCCACATGTGAACCTCTAAACCCACACACATACACACACCATCCTATACAAATATACACACTTTCGCCCCTCTCACTACTTAAAGGGGCCTGAGAGGAACAGTGTCTCCTGGGACAGGACAGCCTCCATCAGAGCACACAACTGAGAAGAGATCACTGTCTGAGATAACACGGATCCTCTACTTCAGAAGAAACTGATTTTGAAGCATCACATTTTGCCTGAAGTGGAGAATTCAACAGCTTTAGTGTTTCCCCTGGAAGGACTGGGGCCATGGTGAAGTCCATTGAGCAAAAGCATGACTACAGAGCTCTTCAAAAACGTTATCCATGGCAACCATCATCATCACCATAAAATGGCTGCATCCAGTTGAGTGGCCCGCAGACCAATAGTCCAAGATGCAGACAGGATCCAGTCCTTCAGTGTCCTGGGACAGGACAGCCTCCATCAAAGCACACAACTGAGAAGAGATCACTGTCCGAGATAACACGGATCCTCTATTTCAGGAGAGACTGGTTTTGAAGCATCACATTTTGCCTGAAGTGGAGAATTCAACAGCTTTAGTGTTTCCCCTGGAAGGATTGGGGCCATGGTGAAGTGCATTGAGCAAAAGCATGACTACAGAGTTCTTCAAAAACGTTATCCATGGCAACCATCATCATCGCCATAAAATGGCTGCATCCAGTTGAGTGGCCCACAGACCAATAGTCCAAGATGCAGACAGGATCCAGTCCTTTAACTGTTTTCTACTTCTCCATCTGAGGCCACAAGGGTTATGATGCTTTCCTTAGCATTAATTCAATCTGGGAAAATTTTAATCTTCGTGCAATATCCAGGGAGCTCTCACCATTCTGAGGAGAAAAGAAACGATAGTTTCTTAAAAGTCCAGCCAACAGTTTAGACTGGTGGACTCTCAGGCTTGGCAAAGACTTTAAATGTTATTCAGATCTAACAGTAATAGGATAACTTAATTTTTTAATAGGATGATTAATTTTGTTGTTTACATCAGAAGCAATTAACTTAATTCCACACAAGGCCAAAGTTAGAAGATCATGAGCTGGGGGAACTTCAGGCCATGGGGCCACAGTTTCTTACCTTATTTCTTACCGCGGGGTCTGCATGGGCTTGAAGGAGCAGAGGGATAAGAGTCTGGTTTTTCATTTCGCAGGCATAATGTAACGCCGTGCAGCCGTACTGAAACACAAAGGACCAACACTGCAGCTCACCCATCTGACTCTACAAGTCAGCAAGCTCAGCAAGCGCTCTTCACGTTTCATAGTAAACAATAAGCAAAACAGTCTGCAACCATCTATGTGCACCACGCTGGCCAGGCTAAACAATCTTGATAGTTATATAGTCTTGGTCAAAATCAAGATAGCCTTTATTTGTCAACTGATAGCAAAATGTTTAGCAGTGTGTTGGTAAACTAGCTATCAATACCTTCCTTTCTCATTTTCTATTCAAACTAAAAAAATGCAACTTATAAAAGGCGAATGCTGAATTTCTTGGGATAATTTCTGTACGTCTGGCCAATCAGCATTGCGACTCTACAGACCGTAGCATGAGGCTTCTTAGCAAGCGCTCTTCACGTTTCATAATAAACAATAAGCAAAACAGTCTGCAACCATCTATGTGCAATGGTATTTCTTGTTCTTAAAGTCTTTTCTGCCTCAATATGTACATTATTAATGTTCTATAAGCCATCAATACCTTCCTTTCTCATTTTCTGTTCAAACTAAAAAAATGCAACTTATAAAAGGCGAATGCTGAATTTCTTGGGATAATTTCTGTACGTCTGGCCAATCAGCATTGTGATCATGTGACCATCGCTTCTCTTAGGGTCTCCATATGGGCCACTTTGCAGATATCATCCTCTATGGTTTTTTATTTTAAAAAATCCCCCAGTCTGTGGCCCTTTCTCATATTTCTACAGCTCACCTGCAAGACCAGTGCAATTTGACATAGAAATCTCCCATACTTGGTTGGTTGTAGCTTATATTATGTACTAGAGGCCCAGTGCACAAATTCGTGCATGGGTGGGGTCTGGCTGGCCCACCCTGATTGGGCTGATTGGGCCAGGTTGGTGGGGTTGGGGGGAGGGGGGGGAGACACAGGAGGTTGGCCAGCTGGGGACAGTTTGCATATTAGTCTTTCATTATGTAGGATTATAAAATAATCGATCTACCTCATTGGCACTAATTTAAAACACTAACTAGAGATTAAAAGAAATGTACAGCTGGGACATTTGTGCTAAAATTTTTGCCTTTCAAATCCAAACAACCATGGTATTGGTAAGTGAAGAAATAATATCCTTGACTATCAAGATTATCGGGATTAACTTTGGATCTTTTTCCCTAGAAACTCCTCTAAGATCATAGGAAATAATACTGTGATCTCATTTTTTTATTAAGTGATGGCATGAAGAATGCAAGATCTGGCTCTGAATTTTTCCATGTGAAATAAAAAAAGTCTAAAAGACACAATACACTGCATTACTTGGAGTTAAAAATTGGATCTTAATATACAGGTAGTTTTTTTTAAATGGTGGTAAAATATGTGCATGTATGTGCATATATGTATGAGCATGCACAGGAATGTAATTATCTAGAGATTAGAGACAGGCATAGATAACTAGAAAAATACCTTAGAGAAATTTTGTTCACGAGCAAAATTTTAAACATTTTTAATTACCTTTTACTTAATTTCAATGACATCTTAATATATTTCAAAGTTATCTAAGAAAATGATGATTCACAGTAGTAGTCCATCCAAATTAATCAAAAAATTATATTTGAAATAAAAGGAAAAGCATACATTTCATCAACTTTCTCTCTCTCTCTCTCTCTCTCTCACACACACACACACACACACACATACACACACACAGAGAGAGAGAGAGAGAGAGAGAAACAGAAAGAGTGAGAATGAGAACTACCTCCATTTAAACATGATACCAATATAACCTAAACTAAAATTATGTAAATGATTAATAGAAACAGGGATGGGGACATTTTATCTATCACAGAACATAGAATGGTAGTATATACAGATGTGTACAACAGAAATTAGGGATCATAAACAGAATATTGGTTATTTTTAAATCCACTTTGACTGGCCTACTTTTTCAGTAAAGAACTAGAAATAAAAAAATGTCATTTAATCAATATAAGCAAATAAAACTCCCTACAAATAAATTTTTGAAACACTTCTGATCATGTCAGGGAGGAAGATGAGTTCAAGGGTGCAGTTGTACAAGGTGAAAGCAAAACCTTCTATTAGGGGGAAGTTAGCTGAGGCTGCTCCTGTTGTTATCACTGCTCTTACCATCATTTGGATGTTTCCTTGACCCTTGCCCTTAGTTGTCTTTAATTCACAAGTGGGGACTCTTTTTCCTGATTGGGATCTTGGCTTCAGTAGCAGCTGCTAACATTCATTGAGCACGTACCATGTGTCAGGCACTCCGCTAAGTGCTTTACATGCATCAGCCCTGTAACTTATCAATATGCTCATGTTACAGAGTAGGAAACAGAAAGACGAGGAAGTTTATAACTTGCCAAAATGCACACAGGTAAAAAGTGGCAAGCCTGGGTTTACCCGAAGGCATTCTGACTCCAGCCCCTTAACTACCAAGGAAGAATTTTGTTATCAGAGCCTTCATCTTCCTTAACTTCTCACAAATGGTGGAGCAGTGTTTTTTTTTTTAATGTTCTGTATTCAATAAAGATGTTATTCCCGCGAGTTTAGTGGCCGTATATAAACAACCTCAAGCTCACCTAATTGGCAGTGAAAAAAGAAATGCAAAAGTGTCAAGGAAAATAAAGCGAGCAACTTTATATATGACAAGTACATACCTACAAATACCACTTTGGATATTATTTCACAGTGACTAAAAGTACGAACTTACACAGTCTGCAGCATTAATGTCCACGCCAGCATCAAGGAGCATTCGGACAAGAGTCTCATTCTGCTTTGTCTTGGAGACCTATGACAAATGGCAAGTACAAGAAGTTTGTTTACAAACTTTTCCTTTGTCTTATGTCTGGATTATTTCAATTAATAGGCTTCATTTTAATCTCAATACCCCCTATGTGCCCATGTACTATTGATTGATTGATTGATTTGGCTACCTTCCCTCTTGCTTTATTCTTTAATCACAGCATCGTATGTATGTTGGAAATGTCACTTACAGAATACAAGCCAAGAGCTTATTCTGTTACTATTCCTTTACCTCTCACTGGCCCAGCAAACCTTGATGGGTCATGCTACTGATCTCCTACTCTTTGCTCTCCTACCCTTTGCTCTCACAAGTGTACTCACCATGAGGAAATATCCAATGAGCAGGACAGGCATTAGGAGGATAATGAGTAGATAATCAAAGAAGGTAAATTTTTTCTTCACGGCATAATGCAAGCAGGTTCTCTCTTTCTAAAAATTAAGAAAAAAACCTCTTCATGAATAAATATTTCACTTCAAATTTCCTGTTTTCAGATTACCCTATCAAAAATTAGCTTGTGCATTTCGTTCTTATGGTATCTAGGCCAACTTTTTTCTGTTGAGTATATCTGATGAATAAACCGAGGTTTCCATTGATTAAAACATTGGACAGAGTACAGTCTAAAGAAGAAGCTGGGGGAGGGCCATAGAAAGAGAACAGGTGAAATGTACATTTTATAAATCATCAAAATACGAATTTTCATACTCATTTTAGTTTTTTGGAGAAAATACATTCAGATATAAACATAAGACTAAATTCAATATGGAAATCCTAATCACCAATAGTAAACATATAGTGATTCATTCTGTGGTTTGTTAATGAACAAATCTTAACCACATGGCAATTTTTCTGTTTCTACATGCATACAAGGCAGTGCGAGAAGAAAGGAAATAACTCGATTTAATTCTTCAAGTAAATAAATATTATCAGGTGATAAACCTAAGTTTCTAGGGATTGTGAGGAATGTACAGCCTCGGGCCTCATAATCAACCAAGGAAGATAGAAACATGGCCACATCAGTACAATGCAGAACAGGCGGTTGTGATTGGAAATCAACCCAATCAATGAGAAGAGAGGGAAAGCCAGAGAGAAAAAGAGAGGTTAACTTCCACTTGGGGGAGGCACTGTTCTTAAATAAGACTTTTTGTTTTTCTAATATAAAAGTATGTATGTTTTCTGTAAAAGTTTTGTAAACGAGGCAGGAAGATAATAATAGAATGAACTAAAATCACCCATTACCAAACAGCCCAGAGTTCATTGTTGACATTCTGCTGTATTTCCTTCCCATCTTTTAAAATGCATACAGGTGGATTTTTTTAAATGTAGGTTCATACAGCATTTGCTATATTTTATATGCTTTTTTTTCAATTAAAATTTAGAATATGTGCATCTTCCCGTGCCATTTAATGTTTTCAAACATATGACTGTAAAGGCTGTTTGGCTTTTAATTGAATAGAACTACTCTGATTTATTTAGCTAAACCCTACCCATTGGGCATTTGAGTCTTTAACTTTTGATTTTTATAAAAATAAGACTACTTGAACATCCTCATTCACAAAGATTTGTCAACATTTCTAAATTTATCTTTAATATAAGTTTCTAAAAATGTGATTCCTGGCATAAAAGGTATTAGTGCTTTTCATATTGTGCTATTACATTGTGCTCCAGTAAAATGATAATGATTTAAACTTTCTTCCTGACCAACACTTGATTTTCATTTCTAATCTGGGTCAATTTCACAGGCCAAAATACATCTATGTCTGTATCTGTATCTGTATCCGTATCTATCTTTACGCTTTAATTTGCTTTCCATAGAATCGATGTTCTCTATTAAGCATATGAATCTAAATTACCAGCCGAGCTTTTTGTAATTTTTTAAGGCTTTTATTTGGTACTTTTGAAAATAACTCATATAGATCAAGAAACGAGAAAGCACTGGTTCAAATTGTTAATGTACAAAAATTAGCATTTGGGAAAAATGAAAAAGATTAAACACTTAAAACTCATGAAAGTATTTTAAAAATAGAAAATGCAAACCAAACACTCTGATAAAATCTCTACTAATTGAAGGTATCCACTAAAGTTCTTTCCACAATATTTATAAACAAGAGGATCCCAGGAGGCTGGCTCAGGTTCTGTGTGAAATGGAAATAAAGGTGCCTCCTCAGCCCTGTCCCTGAGTTGGCAAACCTCTCCCTCCCTCAGCTTCCTAATAATAAATCTCCTGAGAGAGGATGTGACTCATTGACATCTGTCTTCACCACCCCCTCTCACCATTCCACACACCTGGTTCTTCAGCTGGGAGATCATGTCATACTGTACTAAGCTGCAGATCGGTTAGATTTAGCACAGGCATGACTTTGAAGCCAAACCAAACAAACAAACAAAAAAAATAGTAAGCACAAACAAGCAAGTCCAGTAATGATTTCTTTTTCTGATAATGCATTATTACTCCAAATGGCTGATCTTTAAAGTGACTTAGAAGCGGCAAGTGGGGCCCTACAGGCTGTTTTCCCTCATTGAATATACATGAGTGGATATAGGGCATTCATAATTACTACAAACAATGACTTTTTATGTTTACTCAGTGGACGTTAAAGGCTGCCTTTACTATAATGCAGACACTGATAGCTCCAGAGGCTCTCAAAGGATACTCACAGCTATAGACACACATTCTACTCTTCCTTCACTGAAGACTCCACGTCAGCTAATATTGCATCTTCCATGCCTTTCTATGTGGCTCCCAGTAACCTCTGGCTCATGAGCTTATTTGTCTTTGGCAAATTTTTCACTAGCATTCTTCTATTCTGTATGCAAACTATAGGATCTTCTGGAGATCAGTACATTGACATAGAAGGTAAAAACCCAACGAAACTAATGAAATACTGACCAGCAGATCAATATCCCCCCATCCCCCCGCCCTCCCCCCCAGGAAATTTTTCCCATTACCGCTTTAATAGTGAGGAGGTGGAGCTGGGATAGAAGGAGGGGGCAAGGAAAAACATGGGGAGGAGAAAGAAAAGAAAGGAAGCTCTAGCCAGACATATGAGTGAGCGATTCTCTTCCTCAGAAGTTCTAAGGACATAATTAACCACAAAATATGCCTGGTGATTGAATTTTATTTTGCTTTCTAGCTTAATAAAATATCCTCAGTATGTGTCAGTCTCTCTAAAGCAGTGGTTCTCAACGTTTCTTTGGCCATGCCCCACCTAAACATCTCTGAAACCTTCATGTCCTCTCTGTGACATATAATTCTTATTATTCAAAAAGTGAACTCCTATTCCCATGGAGGAAGCCCAAAAGACCATTAATTTGGTTTAAACAAGCTTCCAAAGAATATGGCATCCATGAAAGAGAAAAATTAAAGAACGAGAGGAAAGTTGAAGGACTGAAGCAGAAATCTCTAAGAAATTGTTAAAATAATAATAATAATAATAATATGAAGTGATATGAAAAAATAGAAAATAAAGTTTCAAAACATAATAGAGAACTAAAATGCATAAATATGTCACAACATATATTTATATACTGCACATGAGGCCCCTTGAATCATAAGAAATGCAAAAAAATCACTGTTAATAACTCATTCTCGAACTGCCCCCCTTAAAAATCAAATTGTCCCCCTGTGGGGCATGTGCCCCACATTGGGAGCCACTGCTTTAAAGTAAGGTAAAAAAGAAATTGTTGGTGTCAGGAGCTATAAGCATCAGAAAATGACATTCACTGCTTCCATCCATGCTAAGAGTAAGTACCATGGTCAACTACTTTCCACTGCTGTGTCATGGCCTCACCTGGTTTGTGAGGTTCACATCAGCATTTCTCCTTAAAAGGAAGGAAACGATTCTCAGGTGCCCTCGCCTGCAGGCGCAGATCAGGGGAGTGTCTCCATTGAAGCCATCTTGAACATTGATGTACTTGCTGTCCTCCCTCACCCACCGCCACACTTGACCAAAGTCGTTCTGATAGGCTGCCTGGCAGATAGGCTGAGGAGAGATAAACAAAAGCAGGTTTTGAAATGTAAGTATAATTAAACCACAAAAATAAGGAAAAAATCACTACCCCGTAACTTAAAATTCAAGTGTTTCCAAATCATAATATATTGCTTTGTCGATGAGATTTTTGGTTTCAGTTATGCCCAGTGTTAAATCTAGAACAAACGTTGAGTCTCTAAAGAACCTCATAAGATTTCCTAAATTGCATGACACACAGAAATGTAAAAACTTCTGTAGCCCCCCAAAATGGAAAGACTTGACAATACTGGGTACACATTCCCACGGGACATCAAGTAAAGCCTCCTCTACTTGGGCTCCTCAAAATCCTTACTGAGACTTAACTAAAGCAAGAAAAGGAGAAGGCGGATGGTTTTCCTCAGTCACTGGATGTCTCTGAGTGCTTTCTCAATCCCATGTGAGAGATATTATTTAAAATATTAACCTATTCTTATTTTTCAATATTTCCTAGGCTTCTTGTATCCTAGACACAGAGTTTCTGTTTTTGAAAAGTAAAGTATATGCCTGGCTTAGTTAGACACACAAGTGATTTGTTGCATGGATTGTAAAACCGCTGAAAAGATTCTATGCTGTTATAAATTCTCAGTCTCCGCTAGGGGGCAGTTCAGTGTCATAAAAGCACTGACAAAAGAAGACAGAAAACCCAGCAGAAAAGTGCTGGTTGATCCAGAGACAGAGAAGCATCTGTCAGACCATAAAACCTCAGAGGGATGGTAGGGGAGGGTGGGGGTAAGGGGGAGAAATAAACCAAAGGACTTATATGCAAGCATAGAGGCCTAAACAATGGACACAGACAACAGGGGGGTGAGGGCATGAGTGGGAGGGTTGAGGGGATAAGGACAGATATGGAGGGCATGAGTGGGGGGGGGGGTAATGGGGGGATAAGGACACATATGGAATAACTTAATCAATAAAGAAATTTTAAAAAATAAAATAAAATTTAAAAAGTGCTGGTTGGCAAGCTAGGAATGGGAAAGAGAAGGGGGGCTGTCCCTTTGGGTTGAAGGAATAGTATGAATTCTGTTGGCCTCTAAAGTTCTTAAAACTTGGAGGAACTCGGGCTGTAGAGGAAACCAGTGAGAATTTGGAAACTTACCATGATAATTCTATCTCTAAACACAGACTTCCTGGCACAGTTAGAACTAAATTCTAGGTTTTCATGATTTCCAATTCAATAGCCTTTCCATTAGTCACATCTCTATTCTGTCTTTCCTGAGTTCTCCTCAACTCTACCAGCTCCCCCAATAAGCCCTGCTCAACCTAAATTGCACTCTCTAGACACTGTATATTTCAAAACAATACCTCCCTTTTTTGAACTATGTTTCTTTTTCTTATAGTAGCATCTGAAAAAATAGACCCATTCCTAAAGATTAATATTAAGGGTGTATGTGTGCATGAGCATATACATGTATGTTATGTGTGTTTCATGTATTCATATGCATGTTGGGTGTTGTATATCCCTCTGCTCATAATAACCATATCATTAGACCTTCTCAAAGTTTAAAAGGAGCCGAAACCGGTTTGGCTCAGTGGATAGAGCATCGGCCTGTGGACTGAAAGGTCCCAGGTTCAATTCCGGTCAAGGGCATGTACCTTGGTTGTGGGCACATCCCCAGTGGGAGATGTGCAGGAGGCAGCTGATCGATGTTTCTCTCTCATCGATGTTTCTAACTCTCTATCTCTCTCCCTTCCTCTCTGTAAAAAATCAATAAAATATATTTTAAAAAAAAAGTTTAAAAGGATACATTATTATGATATGATTTTTCAACACTTAGCAGCACATATGCAGAGTAAGAGTAGAATATACTTCATTGGAACCTGGATTTAGTTTACCCCATTCTTTTCACTAAGGGAAAAGAACAGTAATATATCCTAGTAGAGAGGAATACCAGAAGAATGGCAGAGTGGTTAAGACCAACTCCTTTTGGGAGTATGACACCCCTGTTGAGATATCAAGTAGAAAAAGAACTTAGTGTGCTCATCAGTGATGTAAGCAGAATTCTCCTGAATATACATAGTTCTCATATCCCAGCCCCTGATGTCCAGCCAGTAAGTACTTTTTAGCTGCATAACTCTGGGCAAGCTACTTAAACTATCTTTGCCTCATTTTTTTATTTGTAAAATAAGGACAATAATAGTGACCAACTTATATGGTTGTTGTATGAACTGTGTTAATACACATAAAGTGTTTAGAAATGCCAGGTATATAACGTCCTCATTACATGTTTATAAACTTACCAACATATTGTAAATAATATCAACATAAATATGTGTGATAAGGGTTTAAATGAATCAACCCTGTTTAAAAGTCCAGCTTACACAGCTGGGGTTGGTTATTCCAAGCCATGTTCTCTCACTGAGCTCCAAGCATATCCTGTATTTTAGGTGTTAGGCCCAACTCTGGGATGCTCCCTCATTCTCTCTGTCTTTTTTAAAATATATTTTTATTGATTTCAAAGAGGAAGGGAAAGGGAGAGAGAGACAGCAACATCAATGATGAGAGAGAATTACTGATCGGCTGCTTCCTGCAGGCCCCACACTGGGGATCAAGCCCACAACCCAGGCATGTTTCCTGGCAGGAAATCGAACCATGACCTCCAGGTTCATAGGTCGATGCTAAACCACTGAGCCAGGCAGGCCTGGCTCTCCTTCTTTCTTAAATACATTGGAAATAGTATAAATGCCAATTGGTGGATGAATGGATAAAAAAATTTGGTACATACACACACACACACACACACACACACACACACACACACACACTGGAATAATAGTCAACCATAATAAGAAGGGAATCTTGCCATTTATGACAACATGGCTGGACATTGAGGGCATTATGCTAAGTGCAGTAAGTCAGACAGGAAAAGATAAATCCTGTGTGATCTCACCTATATATGGAATATGAAAACAAAACATAGAACTAGAGCACATGAATATGGAGAACAGATTGGTGGTTATCTGAGGTCAAAGGTATAAGTTTCTAGTTATAAAATGCATAAGTCCTTGGTATGTAATGTACGGCATGGTGCCTATAGTTAAAAACACTGGCTGAAACCGGTTTGGCTCAGTGGATAGAGCGTCGGCCTGCGGACTGAAAGGTCCCAGGTTTGATTCTGGTCAAGGGCATGTACCTTGGTTGTGGGCACATCCCCAGTAGGAGATGTGCAGGAGGCAGCTGATCGATGTTTCTCTCTCATCGATGTTTCTAACTCTCTATCTCTCTCCCTTCCTCTCTGTAAAAAATCAATAAAACATATTTAAAAACAAACAAACAAACAAATAAAAAAACATTGAATTGTATATTTGAAAGCTGATAGGAGGATGGATCTTGAAAGTTCATGTCATAAGAAAAAAAATTGTAACTATGTATGGTGATGGATGTTAACTGGACTTATTGTGGTGATGATTTTGCAACATATACAACTATTGAATCATTACATTGTATTCCTTAAATTAATCTAAGTCAATTATACCTCAATTTAAAAAATATTATCATCATGTATATATATCAATATATAACATATATATGATATACATATATATAGATCATCACTATTAGCAATTCAAGGTTCTGAAAGGTAGCAGAATATTCAATTCAAAATACAACTCTCAGCATAAAGACTATTTTTAACTAAAGGCAATTGAGAAGAAGCTGGTACAAGGAAAGCTCTCCACTCTACCCCCATTTAGCTAAAAGCAGGACACAAATTTGTGAAGGTGTTCCCCCTTCCCTTTAAGAAGACGAAAGTAACTCTCGTTAGCCCAGAAAAGGCACCATCTACATAATAAAATTTACCAAGTAGCCCTTATCTTCCATTAGCTTCCCTAAATATTTGCCTTCCCATAATTCGCCACTCCCAGAAACTCAGCCTGTTTCCTTTGTCTTGCCACTAAAAATTTATTATTTTGTTAAGATGCTATATGAGCCCAAGTTCTAACCACACGTTGAGTTACTCATCTCGTATGAATGCATGATGCAGGTGTTCATAAACTCCTGTTTGTTTTCCTGCTGTCAGTTTATTTTACAGGGCCCCAGCCAATGCACCTAAGATGAGTAAAGCAAAAAAGCATTTTTCCTCCCCTACAGCTTTAAAAAAAATGATAAGCCTGTGTGTCCAATCTCAAAGAGCTTCTCACACTCCAAGTGGAAAGTTGAATTTTACAAAAAGTTTAAATAAAAGTAGATGTGTCAGGACATTACAGAACCAGGGAATGGGGCAGGACTGGACGTTTCTTGCCTTGTTCTTATTTAATGGCTCACATTCTTTATAGGAAATGCAGGGTGACTGGTACAGGGTGAATGAGAGACTGGCACATGCACATGAGTAGGTAATGTTTAAATATTTGAGAGATTACTCCAGAGCTTTGCAACCTTCTTAAAATTATGCATGGGAGAGTGTCACAGAGGGTTCACTCCAGACCTTCTGGATCAGAATACGAGAAGGAGAGGCTAAGCTTGTTCATTTTCCTTTTTCCATTCACATGTAACTCCCAAATGCAACTGGAACAAGCAACCTACGTTTTCTTCCAATCTAAAAGAACCCATTTCCCTTCAGCATTTTTCATCTGTCACCGAAGTCAGATTCTAATTCTGGACATTTAACAGCATGATGTTAATCCAGATATCGAGAAGTTGATATATTGGGATACTGAGGATTTTCTGAATCTTTGGCAGAATCAGTGGAGCTCTCAAATCCATTGCTCTGGGATACCGTGAAATCTGTCAACTGAAAATGAGAAATGTCTAAACCCATCAGTTAAATGAAAAGTCTCAGTGGGATTTCAGTGAGAGCACCTCTCACACTAGTGGAATATCTCCTGGGTTCAGGGCTGCTGGAGAGTAACAAGACAGCAGAGCAAACACATCCAAACACAGCCATTCCCCAAACAGCATCCCGCCACAGCTGTCATGCTGGGAGATTAGGCATTTACTCTGAAACCTGCTACTCTAAGTAGTTTTGCAAATGCCCTTACCCACCCTCATTTATAGCTACTTTTACCTAAAAACAGGAAGAAGGAGGAGGAGGAGGAGAAGGAGGAGGAGGAGGAGGAGGAGGAGCAAGAGGACAACGAGGAGTTGATATTAACGGGAATCCTGAAAATTGAAAAATTATTTTCCAAAGAGGTAAACAACAATTTTTTCCTGGAAATGACTAAGTTGGCAGGTGTTTTGTGTTTTTAAAGTAGACAGTGTACAGCATTAAATGGGAGAGCCTAAAATCCACTTCCACTTGTCAAACTGAGATGCACGGCAACATTTATTTTAGTACTACCTTAGACTGTTTTTGGTTCAATATTAATTATGAGCTTTGATTAGTTACCTATGATCATGTAGGTAAATTAGGGTTTTCTCTCTCTCACTGTGTGTGTGTGTGTATGTGTGTGTGTGTGTGGTTGTTGTATTTGTTTTAAAATATCATAGTAAATTCCAAGTTGCTTTGTCCTCAATAGATCTGAAAAGTGAAGCATATATTCCACTTCTGGGCATATTCTCATTGATATTTAAAAGTGATTCAACATGTCTTGCCCTGCCTTGCCTTGCCTTGACTCAACCACTTGCCAAATCAACACACAATCAACAAACAACTGCACTGCTCAAGCAGAGTTCTTTACAGGGCCTAACTACAGTTAACTATCCACTGGCCATGCACAGTGTGGTATGTGGACCAACAAAAGCATCAGTGAGCTGATGTGTATAATCTTAGGTCCCACAGGCCTCACCCAGAGCTGCAGAATAAGAATGTGCATTTAAAACAAAATCTTGAGGTGATCGGTGCACATTAAAATTTGAAAAGCACTAGCCTAGATCACTGTGGTAGTAAACTGATCACCTGCATCAATACTACCTGGATGCTCTTCTAAAAGTAGGTTTCTGACACTACCACAGACAGGGAGACACACTGTGGGGAGGAGGCACTTGAATCTACATTTTAAACAATTTTCTCTCGCTGACATTTAGACAATCTAAAGCATGAGAGTTACTTGAGTGTTTCAAGTGTTGTCATTTTCACCAGACCAAAGTCACTGGGCAAGACATTACCTAGAAATATAAACTAATCGAAGAACACCTTGACTATAAAAAAGTAAGCACACACACACACACACACACACACACACACACACACACACACACACCCCTGGCATTAGAAGTAACTGCAAATGGGGAGAAACTGCCTTTAGTGCTAGAAGAACCACCCAATGAGGTTCTGCTGAGCATCTGTAATGAAATGCAGACTAACCGGTTGATGTGTTAGGGAGCAAATAGTGAATAATAATGCTGTCGCATCTCTCATCTCTCGTACTTGTTGAAGCATTACTCACTTGCACTCCTTTGAAACGTAGTTAAAAGTTAATTTGATTCTAATAGGCTACTTTCAATATAGGAAAAAGCACATTTTGTATCCATCAGATGTGAAAAAAACTAAAAAAGTATATTTGAAAATGTATTGTTTTTTATTTCTCTTCTATACAGAGAGTCTTCATTAACAATTACTAGAGGTGAATTTCCTTTCAAATATCAAGCTGAAAGGCAGTACTCTGTATATGCATTTCCATAAGAGAACCAGTCTATCTTTTGTATGTTTAGAAAATCCAGTTAGGTACAATTTTCACTTTTCCTCATTACCCCTGCAGACATGTGGATTCGCGAAATGTGTGTTGTATTCCTCTTTACTTACATGTAGCTAACATTTTAGAATGGCAAGAACCATTTGCCCTAAAATATTAAAAATATCAGAAAGATGAACACACAGGACTTTGTTTTGACTTGATGAGCTCACAGAAAGTCCAACAGAAGAAAAGGAGACATTAACAGGGACAGGAAGTTACATTCGAAAAACATGAGCAGTTTTTAACACCTTTGGAGTCTTATTTTCAGAAAGATTACCTCAGAGTATAGGATCCCCATGCTGGTCTCTCACAGATTTACTTCACCCCCACAGCTTCTCGAATCTTCCGTAGGTATTCCTGATTAACATCAAAATGCTTCCCGGCAGAGAGAAAGGTCCCAGAAGTCCAGGTCAGTGGCAAACCCTTTCTTTCCACACCTGTGAGTGCATTTCCAGCGACACAGACAGCAACACCACCTTCTAGAGGGCCCAACCCAATGAAACAAAGGCATTGGTTACCCGGTAATGACCCACGCTGTGCATCATCTAAAGTTACAAGCCTGAGAAACCGGTTTCTGAGTCACATCTGCTCTGCCAGGGGTAGCAAGTGGGAAGAAAGAAGCAAAATTGAGGAGGAAAGGAAGCTTCTCACATTGGCAGGAAGGACACGGAGTTCAAAACGGGGTACTGTGTTTAGGACATTTCCTCATTGAAATCTGGTTTTCAGAGGCGATTGCGAAAGGCTAGAGAGCAGCAAACTCGCTGGTTAGAACCATATGTCTGCCATAGGCCTTGACTTTCATGAAAAATCATCTTCAAAGCTCTGGTTCTGGTTTATTTGCTCTCTTTAAGTACAGAGAAGTTTATTTTTTCTTGATATTGATTAATATAAGCTACTTACAATAATTAAGGTCAATTTATAAGCTATTGTACACATAATGTTTTATTTACTTGATATACATGAATTACTATTATTTTATATTTTTATAAAAATATATTATTTTCTATACATAAATGTGTCCATAATCACTTGCAAGGGGATCTTTGAGTCAAGTGTCAACTCAAATGGAAAACACTAAACTCTTTGCAGAATCAATCCATTAACATCCTAGTTAATTAAATTATTGTAAAAGGTTTAAATTACATTTATAACATTACTATATTTAAGTTTTGTTTTTAAGCACTTCAATTCTAAGCCTAACAGGGAATATTTTCCCAACTAACTAAATGGTTTTATAAATCTAGTAAATTATACTAACATAATAAATATTAAGTTGTCTTAAACATTTTAATGCTGTTTACAAATTTAGCCAAATTATTTTATAATATTCAATTTAAAAATTGTAAGTCTAAAATCAATTATTATACATTTTAAATGGAATTACCAGGTCACTTGGTCAAACATGGTAACATGCCAAATCCCTTAAACATTGTAAACATTTTCTGTATTAATATCAGATACTCACACATTTTCTCTGAACTTAACTCAGTCATCACAAAGTGTTAAACTTTCCGGGATTTAAAATACCCACACACATCCATGAAAGAAACAGTTCAGTCATTCCAAGCAAATTGATGTGGTTGATCCAATTAGTTAAGGTTCTTTAGTGGCCAAGATCAAGGACCAGGATTCAAGTCCTGAGCCTATTCAGGGAAATTCTTCCTCCTCCACTGATCACATGTGAATCATTTCTATTATTGTTATAAAAGAATTACCTACTTTACTATGGACTTGGACTTGGGACCAACCTGGTAGGAGTTTAAGAGTTTGGTAGTCTGATGGAGACAGAAGTCTGCAATATCCTCTAAGATTGCAGTTGACTTCCTCATTGGCTTGCTTTTCTTTGAATTTCTTTAGTTTCTTAAAACATTTAAGTGTCTTTTCCATAGACTGAAACATTGGTATTTCCATCAGGCCCATCACTTGCTTATGCAAATCTTTCATAACCCCTTTTAGTTTCTTTTGTAACCTCCTTTAACTAGCGTGTGTGGTGGAACTCTTTGCTCTCACAACCTCTCTGCTAAGGTTGCTGCTAGCTTCCTTCTCCACGCTCTTTCTCTCTGACGGAACTCAGGTTTCTTTAATTTCCTATCAGGACCACAATCACCTAATTGGATTCGACATCTCTCTCTTCGCTGCGTCTTGAAGGTTAGCAAAATATGCCATTCTAAAACGGCCTTTTCGGTATAAAGATTATGTTGAATTGGTTATTTTTGAGAAATTGTAGACACACAAGAGAGTCTCTGCAAATAGAGTGAAATTTAACCTGCTGGAAAGGATATTTAAATTTATAAAATAAATCTCCATTTGTAAAGGTGTCTCTTGTCCGTACCAGGAGGAGAAGGGTGACTCGAAATCTCTGGAAACTCTTATGATATGGTTGTATTTAACCCAGTTATTCATTAACTGGAAAGGAACAAGGGGAGGGTCAGATAAATGTATGCTCAATGAGGTCTGGGTGACTTAGGGAGAGTGCTTGTCTCTCGGTCACACCTGGGAACAGGTCATGGATCAGAGTAGGCATGGTGACTGCAAGCATAGGAAGATTTGAGACACATCAGCTCCTGAACAAAGGAGTTCCCCCTCTCGCTCTCTTGCTGCTTGCCCCTGACTCCTGGCTTGTGGAGCTCTTACACTCTGCACTGGCCCACATGGCCCATAGCCACAATGGACTGACTAATGAACTGGAACTAATCTGATGCTGTACTGAACTCAACTCCGCCATGGAAGAGAAACTCTGGACGCTGGCTTTGCTTCTAGGTCTGCTGAATCCCTAGCTGTTCCTTTTCCAGGACAGGTTTAAGGGAAATGGGACTTTAGAAACCCAGGGATGGATGTAATTCCACTGAAATAAAGCTTTCCACCACATCTCATCTTCAGGTGGGGGCCTCCAGGAAATGTTTATTTCAGTGGCACCCCAAGAACCCCACTCCCACTAACAACAGAGCGAGGCAATCCATGAAATTCTCCAGTAACATTATCAGTGGAGAAGCCATAGACCCTGCATAACAAACTTGATCCTTATTTGCTGTACTTTTCCTGGTAACCTCCATAACTGCCCCTCCCCAACATCTTTCATTTTTCTTTAGCTCAAAATGGTATTTTAAGTGGTGGCTTTGGCCACTTCAGGGAGTTTTACTCAGTTTTCCTGGGTATCTCCCATGTATACATGAGTTATACATGTTATTCAACTTCTGTTTGTTTTTCTCTTGTTAATCTTTCTTTAATTATGGGATGGGGAACCTCAATCAAGAACCTTGAAGGGCATAGGAAAAGTCATCTTTTCTCCCCTACAATGTGGTTCTAAAAGCACAATGTTCATTATGATTATGAAAGGTGAACTCTTTCAATGTAGAGTTAACACTTAAAACAAACCAATCAAAACACAATTGAGTCATGGCAATTGGTAAAACCCTTATATTTAACTCTAGGCCAGTGAGTCCTTACCCAGAGAAGATTTTACCCCCAGATAGGGCTGCCAGATTCAGCAAATAAAAATACAAGATGTTCAGTTAAATTTGAATTTTAGAGAAATTTCTGAAATATTGCATGGGATATACTTATAGTAAAAAAGTATGTCTTGTTTAACTGAAATTAAAAATATTTGGCAATGTCTGGAGACATTTCTGACTGCCACAACCAGAGTGGCGGCATGCTACTTGCATCTAGAAAGTAGAAGCCAAAGATTCTGCAAAACATCCTGCAGTGTGCGGACAGCCTCTCGCAGCAGAGTTATTCTGCCCAAAATAGTGCTGCAGTAGAGAAACCACAGTCTAGGGCAGGGGTGGGCAAACTTTTTGACTCGAGGGCCACAATGGGTTCTTAAACTGGACCGGAGGGCCGGAACAAAAGCATGGATGGAGTGTTTGTGTGAACTAATATAAATTCAAAGTAAACATCATTTCATAAAAGGGTACGGTCTTTTTTTTTTTTAGTTTTATTCATTTCATACGGCCGGATCCGGCCCGCGGGCCGTAGTTTGCCCACGGCTGGTAGGCCCTAGACTCTAGGCCAGTGATGGCGAACCTTTTGAGCTCGGCATGTCAGCATTTTGAAAAACCCTACCTTAACTTTGGTGCCATGTCACATATAGAAATTTTTTGATATTTGCAACCATACTAAAACAAAGATTTCTATTTTTGATATTTATTTTATCTATTTAAATGCCATTTAACAAAGAAAAATCAACCAAAAAAATGAGTTCACGTGTCACCTGACACGCGTGTCATAGGTTCGCCATTACTGCTCTAGGCCAACAGTACAATTAAAGGTGAAGGAAGAGAACTTGATAAACTCATAGTGTTAGAATGAAATATGTTTGCAGAGGAGGAAAAAAAATCTTTCCATCTATCCTTCTAGGTTCTTGGCCGGGGCTCTGTAACAAAAGACAGGGGTTGAGTGTGGGGCCTAAGGTTTCGCAGGCTTGCTCTTTACTGGTGAATTTAAAACATAACAGTGGGAATTTTAAGTGCAGGAAGAGAAAAAAAAACAAGTTGCCCAAATCGTCAGTTACTGAACTCAGACAAGATCCTTAAACATCGGAGCCTCAGTGAGGTGAGGCAGGCTGGCTCTTTATCTAGTTATGTGGCTGACGATGTGGTTATTCCAGATGGCCATCTCTGAAGTAAATGTCCCTTTGAAGTGAAGCCTCGGCAATCGAAGCTTAAGTCAGGTACTTGCATTCCGAAAAAGAAAAATAAGAAAAAGAAAAAGAAAGAGAAAGAGAAAAAGAAAAAGAAGAACTTTCAGGGCTTACACTGCCCACACCTGCTTCCTTGGTTCCTCTTTTAACCCACTACAAATCTCCCTCTTGCCCAAACACCCCTCGGGAAGAGCTCTCCACTGCTTGTGAAATATTGTACTCCCCAACTCATGGATTGCTTTCCCTTGAATAAAGGACATCAAATTCATTACTAAGTAGTTTTATTTTTATCACTTGACAGCTATTATCTTTCCGGTTTAAACACACACTTCTACATTTTGTTCTGTGATGCTACACCAGTCGTCCGTAAGCTAGATCTCCCCTCACCCCTGGCCTCTTGTTAGGTTCTCCCATTAGGAAGCACTCAAGGGAGACCTCAAGGCTGAGGCCTGAGAAAGAAACCTACTCATTTCCACCTGTGTGCTGATCCTATCAGCATAAGCTTAGACTCCAGAAGCAACAATTGGTTTGCTTTTGTTTTTGTTTTCCCACACTACGGGAACCAGCCTAATCATATCCTTCAGAGGCACTGTCAGCAGTTGTCTCCTTCCCACAATGCAACTTGATGCAAACCCTCCGTTGACCTCCTGAAGTAGCAGCAAGCAGACAGCGGCCCGCTTCAAGGCCTGGGTCCAAGAATTTTAGGGTCCTTCCTCAAGCGCTTAGATTCTGATAACCCCAACCTCTGCTCTGTGTTCCCCAGTCCCAGAGGTGGCAGCTGCTCCAGCAATGCTCCCTGCTACCTTTGTTTTCCCTCTTTGTCTATTCAGCCCTTCAGTACCCACTTAACCAATTCCTTAAATTAAATTCTTTGTGAAAATAACTAGTACAAAAAAAAATTACCTAGTATGGTTTTTGTTACTGGATTCTGACTGAGATAATACTCCAGAGATGTTTAG